GGAAATTGTAGATCTAGTCGTCCTCTACAAGAAAGGTCTGATGCAGTTTTCTCGTAAGTCCATCCGTTTCGGAGTTATTGGCCAAAAACGAAATTTTTTTCCAAAAATTCACCGTTTCGACGCTGGGATGGTCGGATTTTGTCAACATCAATAAAATGCCAAATAATCATACGTAACTCGTTAAATATCGAAGTTAGAAGGAAAACAACTTTTATTTGAAGCATTTTTCGCAATTTTGAAAAAAATTTTGATGTGTAAATCTTTTTAGACGTAACGGGTGAGAGGACATTCAGCTTCGATGAAGATGTTGAAGAACAGGAAATTAAACCTGAGAAGAAGCCGGAAGAAGAAAAGCCGCGAAAGAAAAAGAAGCCCGAGCTGAAGAAAGCCAAGGAAACGAAGGAGAAGATCAAGACTGAACGCGTAAAAGTTGATAAGAAGGAGCTACGTAAAGAGAAGTTAGTTCCTAAGGAACAGCCAGAAGAAAAGTTAGTAACGATCATAAATTTAATATGACTAGCAAATTTATTGATAAAATTGATTGTGTTTTTGATAATGAACATTTGTCTAGAAAAATTGTTGACATCGAGGAGACTCAGGTACTCGAAACGACGGAAGTTATCGAAGAGAAACCAACTGAGGTGAATACACAACCTTTTACTAATTTCCACAAGGGTGAAGCAATGCATAAAACTTTTTATAAAATCTACAGGTGTCAAAGGCGAAAAAAGTGGTACCGATCCAAGAGCCAGTCATGACGGAGGCAATTGCGTCCATGAAGAAGATCGACGATCAGAAACCCCGTGAGATGGTACCGAAGCCCGATGAACGTGCGAAACCAGTGATGGAGGAACGCGAAGGGGTGGTCGTCATCTCGGAGGTGGCCACTGACGACGTGGTGCAAGACTTTACTGTGGAATCGGTGGTCGACCGCGCCCAGATTACATCAGAAACGTTGCAGACAGTCTCGGTATCCGAAGTGCGCACCGAGGCGAGCGTCCAAGAGATCAGACGAGTAGACACGAAGCAGCGAAAGGCGAAGAAGACGGTAGTAACTGAAGAAGAGATATTTGAAGAAAAACCCAGAGAGGTGGTCACAGAAGAGAAGCCGAAAAAGAAGAAGAAGAAAGTAACCATAGAAGAGGTCGTGAAAAGAGAGAGAGAAAACATTGCGAAAGAGGTGGAAGAGATTATGGAGGTGCTCCATGCAAAGGAATTCGGTCCGGGCGAAGCTCCGCTTCGAGAATTAGCCACAATCGGGTTCCTAGTCAGACAGGGCGTCTCCGTAAACGAGATCAACGAGAGCCTGTATAGGACGGATAACTTCCCCGCGTTGAAGACACCCGAGGCTCAGAATGCGCTGGTTCAATTGGTGGAAAGAGAGGGACATGGGCCGTTGATCACGCAGGTTCTTACGGAGGAGACGACTACTGATGAGAGTGTGGTGGCTGCTACCGTTGGGTTCCGGGCATTCATGAGGATGATCGAGTTGCAACACGTCACCGTCGAGGAGGTGCTCACCCACTTCGCGCCGGAAGACTTCCGGCCACGAGCTTGGGAAGTCACAGAAGCCACAGAAGTAAGAGTCTGATTGTTATTAATAAACTATTTAATTCTTTTGCATTCTTTTCGATGACACACAATATTTGTGCTATTAAGTCAGCGTAAAAGTACTTCCCCGATTTGAAATAAGATATAAACATTTATATTATTGACGATTATAATGAAACTATGCGATACAGGTTGAAACTGAAGAAAGGGTTACGGAACGAGTGGACGTCGTCCGCAAAACGGAGGTCCACTTTATGGGTAAGTCGAGATCCGATGTGAGCTGTTTGAAAATGAACGCGAAATCTTATTTAAAAATCACGAACACAGTGCTACAAAACAAGTTGCAAATTTTTCTATTAATATATTAAACTTAATTTTTTGTGTGTGCTTGCGTGGCTGCCTATTACAAATAACTTTGTAAATTTTTTTTAATATACATACAATTTTTTGTAAATACCTCGCGGCTTCGAATAAGCATGCGTTTTTTTTTTTAATTTTGTATATACATTAACCGAACGAAGAAGTCTGACGTTTCTTCTATTCGTTTATACAAATTATGTATTGTACATTCGAAGTATGAAATAAAAATACTTTTTTTACCCTGTGCCATAATCTGTGTGTGTTTCTTTGTTTTTTCTTTTTTGCTCTGACACTGACTTCCCATTTCCCGAGGATCCCACGAAAGAAAATCTGGAATTTTTCTTATTGCAGAGAGGCGGGACGAGAGAAAAGCCGTCCGCACGCAGGATATTCGAGACATTAAAGGTTTGAAGCAACGAGTTTCAGTGCATGGGATAAACATTCGTACAATACGCTGTTCGTGTCACGAATGGGCAGCATTCCATAATAATTCTCATTCGCTCGAAGCAAACATTTTAATGTCCGAACAGTCGGCACCACATCCACGTTTCCAGTTGAATCATCTGATTCATCTAAACTTTAATTAAATGAACATTCCTTGAATTTGCATTCTGTTTATATATTTTTATAATTTTATATAATTTATGACCGAGAGAAGATTTAGGATTTATAAATCGTCTGCATTTAATTGAAGGAATGTGGCAATTCTGGACGGATACCAGATTTTAATTTATCATTCCATTATAAAGCTTGACGATCATCTTAATTAAAGTACATCTCATTGCTGACTAATGCACATAAACACAAGTCTTTGAGAGAAAAAAAAGAAATATGTGCGTGATCGATCGTACGATACGGTCTCTACGTAATGATTGTATTTTATTATTCTTTCAGATGCATGAAGCTTTACTTGATCGAATAATAGCAGTAAAAATTGTTCTGCTTAAGCCGCTATGCTTTCCACGCGCCGTACACCCCTTCAATCCCTGTATAATCCTCAATCCCATAATTTAGTCACCCATATTAGTATACAGCCCGACCCGTCGACTCACCAAACGCTTCTATTTTTGAGCTTTGCGCTGCTAACCGCGGTCTCAATGTAAGTAAAATTTGAGTTAAGCTTCGATTCATTGCATCTCATAAACAGAGTTTGTTGATTTGTTAATGTTGGTTTTCTGTGTGCCCCCGTTACATTTATATTTGTCAGAAACTGTGAAATATTGTCATTAAATATGAAAATACTCTTATATTTATTTACGATTACACGTTTATATATTTCATAGTTTCTAAACTATGCATTTTATAGTAGTGGATAATATCACAATTGTATTCTCAAAATGCAATTGGCTGTTTTGACATCATGCAGGGTGTCCCACGAAACACTGAACAATCTCTTATTTCCTACATTATGGGAAGTAGATAAAATATTTATACAGAATTTGCAGGGTTCAAGAGGGTGCATTCTTTTATGAAAACGAATTTTTTTTACGTTATTATTTAATGAAATACGATGGTCAATTTCGCATCTTTCAAATGGATCAATAAGTATATCTCATTTACATCATTTGATAGACATTTTCAAGACGATTTCATTTACGCTTCATGTATAAAGTCGATTTTAATTCTCGCTAATGCGAAACACGATAGGAGATCCTCTTGTGGCTGAGTCACTTGAAATTAATGGCCATGTAGGATCCGTAGGACCAAAGGGAAGTAAAGAAAATAGTTCCATTTAAAAAAAAAACTTGGCTATCGTATCTCAGTAAATAATACCGTAAAACTACAATTGATTTTCCACCAAAAAATGTGTCCCCTCAAACCGTGCAAGTTCTGTATAAAAATTTTTGTCTATCTCCCATAACTCAGAAAACGAACGGCTGTCCAATGATTGGTGGGATACCTTGTATATACATATGTATGTTTATCTTGTTACTGTTACACATTCAAGTTACACACTCACATGAATCTATGTATAACAGTGATGTCCTACATACGAGAGATGATTAGCGGTTAATTTAGACAAAAGATTCACCCGTCTCCTTTTTTATCTCAATTTTTGTAGCAAGCACGATGTGTAACAGACAAGCATTTGTTTCTTGTTGTGTTCACGTTGGTTTGACTTCTGGCCGGCCTGTACTATTTTTATACTGCCCACCACACGATATTGTCACACACATTCACCACTTGTTAATTAAACAACGCATGCCAAGGCACACTATTCTTTACTTAGATACCGCAACAAACATTCCAAAGACATCGTAATCGTACAATGAAACAACTGTATATTCAGTTATACAATGAACACTGTCAAACGATTCATTCTCATCATCTTTTATACTTGACAGACAATCGTGTTAGTCCTTTCACGATGATACACATTTTATTAATATGGTATACAATTATAATTAATTCAGTATTAATTGTTAATCGTGATATGATTTAATACAGTCGCCAAGATACAATCTTATGAATAGGAGGCGTCAATACAAATATTGTTCATCTAAATGGGCAGCAGCAATTGGCCTTTCCCTGTTTGAGGCCAAATTCTGTCTCCGAGTCAAATGCCAAATTAATATTAACTGAACCAAAACAGTTTACTGTTTAATGTTATATTTATTCATAAATAGATTATTCATTATCTAGAAATGGACCGGATCAAAAGAAGCTACAGAGCCAGGGTTTGCCCACACGTGATCTAAATACTGGAACCACAATAGAATACGATACCTTTGGAAAAGTCTAGTCTAGAGAATGAAACGATACACGCTGTTAATACTACCACACAATTTTAAAATTTTTCCTTTTTTTATTCGTTTCTCACCTTCTCACACAAGCTCCGTCCAGCCAGCGTGCATTGTATACGTAACGTAGGTTTTGAAGCACGTTGAATTCTGTTCTGTCTTCCGCAAAAAACAAAGCAGCATCCGCATCAATCGTTCGACAGCATGTAGTCTGCAACAACAAGAACATAGAGTATGAAACTTTTTAAGAGCGAACGAGCGAGAGAACGAACGAACATGCCGCGTTTAGCTATTTTTTTTTTTTTAATCTTTCACACGAATATTCTGACATACTTTCCACAGAATACGAGGACACACGGCAGGCACACACAACACTGCGCGAACGAAAAGTAAAACCGAAGGAACAGGAGAGAAAGGAAGATAGGGACGAGGGGGTTCAGGTTGTAGAGATCGAGGAAGTCGAGGAAACGGAGAAGAAGAAACGAAAGGACGTGGAAGAGGTCGAGGAGGAAACCGAGACCATAATCGTTGAAACAGACTCGAAAGGCAGACTGATTCAAAAGAAAAAAGATCGTGACGATTTAGAGAAACGCGTAGACGTCGAAGAGGAGGAAGAGATCATAGAAAAAGTGAGGAAAGAGCTGAAACCTAAACGGCCGCAACTTGGCCGAGACGAGATTGAACTAGAAGAAACAGAAGAATTCGAGATCACCAAAGACAAATCCGTGCCTTCGATCGCTTTGAACGTTCCTAGCCAACGACATCAAGTAATACCTTTAGATCGCACCGTCGAGCAAGCACCAGGGAAACCAGAATTAGAGACAGCTAAATTGACTTTAGATACGATCACACCATTGACCGAGCACTTGGTGCCGGTTCAAGAAAAAGAAATCGACGATATTACCCTGATTAAACCAGTTGAACGCAAAGCGTCCCTTTCTATCTCACCAGTAGAGCCATATTCTACCACAGAGACCACTGTACAAGCCACCACCGGCGAATTCGCTGATACCTTCAAACCCACGACTTACGAAGCGACGCCAGGCGTCGTTTCATCCGAAAGCATCGTAGTCAGCGAAACATTAACCAATGACGCCGATGTGTCCAGTTTAACAATAACCAAACAGGAATTAAGTAGAACAGCGGATGTCAGCGTGACTCTCCAAGAAGCCACCACCGTGTATGAAACCATGGTGAATCAAAAAGAAGTTCCAACTGAGGATTTCGTGTCGCCGTTGACTGCCAAGGCTGAAGACACTTTCTTACCCCAAGTCGGGCTGTCTGTGTACGAAGTCCAAGAAGGCTTGACTGAGGACAAATTAGAGCCGATGAAAACTGTCCCGACTAAGCCTAGGGTCAACGTGACAGCAGTCGAACCGTTGGTTGTCGAAGAAGTTAGAGCTGAAGATAAACCAGGTAAATATTATCCAGAGCTGATAGTTCCTACCGAAGTAGCGACGGAAACGGTGATACCTCAACGGCAGAGGGTTACTGAAGAGATGCACGCGCCTGAAAAGGAAGGCGAATACGTTCCAGGCAGACTACCTCCGAGCCAGAAAGCGCAGGTTGGAATGTCGTATGGAAACGAAACAGCAATAGTGGAGCAAAACGTCGTTCAAGAGAGCGAAGGGATATTCGTTTCAGAAAGAAAAACTGATACCTTCGAAGCCACTCCTAATGTTACTTTGCTCGAAGGAGTCTCTGTGTCCACTGTCCAAACTCAGGACACTGAAGTTCATTTGACTATTGAAGAAACGAAGAAAGCAGTGGCTGATTTGAATGTTGTTGAGATCACTTCTGCTGTGACAGTGGAAACGGTGCCTTCTGAGAAAGAAAAGGAGTACCAGCCAGGTGATAAGCCAGATGCTAGGACAGCCGAGACATCGATATCCTCTTTGGAAATCGGCTCTATCGCGAGCACGATAATTCAAGAATCTGAAGGAGTCTATCAACCAGATCAGAAGCCAACGAAAGCGCTGGCTGAAACTTCTATCAGACCCGAAGAGCACGTAACGGTCTCAGAAATTCAGACTGCGGACTATCCATCAGACTTCAAAGAGGAACTGAAATACGTTCAAGAAAGTGGAACCGTTTCCGTACAATTGACAGAAGCGAAACTGATCCAGGAAACTTTGGCCCATGATAGTGAAACAAAAATGGATGAAATTGTAAGACCAGAAGAGCGTGTAGTGGAAACGAGTTACGATGCGATCAGAAGCGTCGAGGTGTTTCAGACTACGTCTGTAGAAAAAGAAGCTGAATTGAAGATCTTTGAGATGCCAGAATCTCATCGGGGAAAGACCGTGCCGACGCATCCTGTGGTTTCACTGGAAATTGAAATGACCCAACCGGAAGACAATTTAGGCGAAGTTAAGAAAGATGTACCGTCGACTGGGGTAGCTAAAATAGAACCTATAGGATTACAAGAGACAGTTGTAGGTGAAACTGTAGTAGCTGAAGATGTAGCACCAGTACAAAAGGACAAGGTTCCCCAGTCGATGATGGCTGAAGTCACGATGAACGAGATTGAAAGTGTGCACACCACTATGGTAGTTGCCAGCGAAAAAGAAGCAGAGTACACCGAAGTTTCTGAAATTAAAGGAGCTTACGCTAGCACAGAATTCACCACACAGGTCGCCCCAGTGTTCGAAGAAGTCAGAACACATTCACCAACTGGAGAGTACGTCCCTGAAGAGAAGCCAGCTTCCGGCGTAGCTCAGCCGTCGCATATTCCATTAGAAAGCGTGACAATTGCTATGCAAGAGATTGCAGAAAAAGAAGATCTGTATAAGACTGATATGAAACCTACTGAGAAGACTGCGATTGTTGAATTGACTGAACCTAGACCTGGTCCAACTGTATTAGAAGTTATTCCTCACGATCGTGAGAACATTTACAGTCCCGATGCGAAACCGCAGGATTACACCGCTCAGCCGTTGGTCTCTGGCCACACTGTTGCATTGAAATCGGAGACGTTAGTGGAGCAGAGTACTGGTGACATGAGTATCGACAAACCTAAATCAGAAAAAGCGATTCCTCAACGAGATGCATTGGAGGAATTGATTATAACAGAAACGAACATCGCTGAGACAGAGAAGACCAGAGAGGAAGATATCAAACCGATTACCCAGAGTGCTGAGCTTCAAATCCAGTCGAAAACCGAGAAATTAACTGTAACTGAAGTGATGAGCGTTCAGGAGGAGGAGAAATTGGACGTGGAGGAAATTCCAAAAGAAAGAACAGTCACTCTAGGAATCACTGGAGGACACGAGGTAGCTGAGATGCAGGAAACTGTCCTTGCGAGTAATATCAATATCCTGAAGGAAGAGAAGGTTAAAGAAGAACACGCTGGCCAGCAACAAACCGGACTGGAAGTCGTCGAGCAAACAGAAATATCTATTTCAGAGAAAGAGTCTCCGTTGCAAAAAGATGTCAAACCTGATACCAAGAACGTTGAAGTCACCTTCGAAGAGGGAGAAGGTATCGTGGTTGGTATGACTTATCCAGAAGACAAAGAAGGAATATTCACTGGGGAAGAGAAACCGAAAGGCGTGGAAGCTACAGTAGACATAATCACCCAAGGAGTTGCTTCCAAATTCGAAGTTCTTACTGACACAGGCTTGAGCGATTTGCCAGATGAAAAAGTCCAAGAGGCGAAACCACATACAACTATACTTCCTATTGAAGCAGCTATTGCCGAAGAGGTGCAGACCAGAGAAACAGAGGCACCGTTCAGCGAAATAAAACCATCTGACAAAAAAGCAAATCTGGAATTCGTCACTGGTGAAGGTTTAATAGTTTCAGCAGTCACTACCCAGGATAAAGAGAGTATTTTACCAGAAGCTGTAAAACCAGAAACGAAATCGGCTAGCTTCGATATTCCAACCCATATCGTCGCTCAAACTAGTGAGACGACCACGACTGACAACGTGGGCGAGTTTAAACACGAGGAAGCAGTTCCCGCGACAGCTACGGCTGACCATATTCCGTTCCGTAGCGTGATTGCATCAGAAACGGCTCCAGTCGATTTAGAAAAGCCGATGGAAGACTTCGTGCAGCCTGACAAGAAGAATGTAGATGTTACCTTCGAGGAGGAAATAGGAGTGACAGTGACAGAAACGATCGCGTCAGATAAAGAGAAAGAGTATTTCAAGAAGCTGGAGATCCAAGGCGAACAGGCTACTCCTAGCTTCGACGCGCATAAGGTTGCCCAGCTAATGGAAATTAATCCGGCTGCGGTTTCTGGGGACTTGACTGTGCCCGTTCCAACGACGGGTGCTGCTAAAGAGGAACGATTACCGTATGAAAGTATCGTTCAAACCGAAACTATCGTCAGTGAAACTGAGAAGGAATTCAAAGACAAACCTGCGATTACGAACAAAGCAGAAATTACCATCAACGAAATCATCAGTGCTACTACCACTACTGAAATACCAGCTGACAAGGAGGGTACGCTAAAAATCCCTGAGAAACCGGGTGAGAAACAGGCCAGTGTTCAATTCGCTGGTCATATTATAGCTGAGAAAACAGAAATAACCGTCGACGCCAGTGTTGGAGAGTTAGAGAAAGATAAACCAGTATCTGCGTCTGCTGTACCATCTAGTGTACCACTGGAAGCTCTAATCAGTTCGGAAACCCAGCCAACTGAAGCTGAAGGACTGTTCACTGAAGATCAAGCGCCATTAAAAGCTCTGGCTGACTTGTCTCTCGTAGAAGAACAAAGTATTCAAGTGTCAGCTGTAGTTTTAGAAGATAAAGAGGATGAATACAAATCTAAGGAGCTACCAGAAATGAAAACTGCTGGAAAGAGTTTGGTTTCCGGTCACGTAGTCGCAGAGACGACCATGCAAGTTGTCGATTTCAGTACCGGGGAACTGGTTGAAGAAAAACCAACTGGTGCCATCGCGGTACCAGAACATATTCCATTGATACCACTGATAGAATCTCAAACTGTCGTACAGGAGAGCGAGGACAAATTCGTACCAGGTCAACTACCAGAAAACAAGACCGCAATCGTTGATCTTGAAGAGGGTAGAAAAATCGTAACAGTGTCCCAAGTAACACCGGCCGATAAGGAATCTTTATACGTTTCTGAAGAACAGCCATCGAAACATGCTGCCTCCGTTGGTCTGGACACGACCCACGGAATTGCTGAAACGACTACAGTATCTGTGGAAGATTCGGTATCAGAAGTGAGGATAGAAAAGCCGGATACTAAGAAAGCTATGTCGAGCCAGGAAGTACATCAAAGCGTGGTTGTCACTCAGAATATCGTTCAAGACCAAGAGAATATATTCGAAGGAAAGTTCAAGCCAACTGTACAGACAGTAGACGTGTCCATCGAAGAAGGTAAACGTGTGACTACTGTCACCGAAGTCGGCGTAGCTGACAAAGAAGAAATACTGAAGACCATTCAAGAAGAAAAGACACGATCTGCGGTACCAGCTATTGTCTCCGGTCACGAAGTCGCTGAAAGGTCTGAGATCATACCACAACAAAGTACTGGGGAGGTGGACATTGTAAAACCTGTCACAGCAACTGCACAAGTAGGTCAGAAACCGTTTGAAACAATCGAAACGACAGAACAAGTCTTGGCAGAGAAGGAAGTAGACACAATCAAAGAATTAACCATGCAAAAGACCAGTGCACGTGTAACTGTGGATGAAAATAGGTTCATTGCTATCACCGAAGCGACTACAACACAGGATGTCGAAGCAGAATTGTCAGCCATGAAGAAGCCGCACGAAGAAGTGGCGAAACCAGCAATGGAGGGCAAGGAAGTCGCTGAGCAGATGGAAGTGAATCTGAGAGAAGGGCTTGGAGAACTACCACAGGCTCCACGGCCTACCACGTTCGAGGCCCATCCGACTCAAACCACTTTAGAAAGCGTCGACGTGAGGGAAACGGTACCGCAAGAACACAGCGCAACATTCGAAGAGAAGATGAAATTAGATGAGCACAGCGCAAAAGTCAGCTTCGTGGAAGGAAAGAGCGTAACCGTCTCCCACGTAATTACTCAAGATAAAGAAGACACCATGAAGATAAAGAAACATGAAGAGAGCACGGCAGAAGTGACTCTAACGAAGGTTGGCATGGACGTGGCGCAGAAGGCTCAGGTGTTCGTCGAACAGAGCACAGGATCGGTTCAGCCATTGGAGAAACACGAAGTGAAGGCACATCCTAAACAAGATGCTTTAGAACCGATTATCGTGGAAGAAACTCCAAGTGCTGAGAGCGAAGGAATCTTTGACAAATATCCTAAAGCTGTTTCTTCGACGGCGGTACCGACGTTCGAGGAGGGTCATGGAGTATCTATAACAGAAGTCACATCTGCGGAGGCAGAAGCTGTATTCAAAGAGAAGAAGTTGGATGCTTCACAAACAGCCAGCAGTACTATTATCACCGAACGCAATATTATTGAAACAACTACGATCGAATCTCAGGTGAATATTCCTGATAAGGTTGAAGAGGCACCAATCAAGCCTCAGGTGGCTGTTCCTGAACAAGATACCTTCGAGAGTGTAATTGTAAGCGAGAACATAGTCGAGGAGAGTGAACGCACCTTCGAGGGCGTGTTCAAGCCACAAACGCAGAAAGCGGACGTCGATATCCAGAAAGTGACTTCCTTACAAGTTTCTGAAACCGTTACTGAGGATAAGGAAAGCATTTTCGATGTGGTACCGAAACGGGAGGGAGTCAGGGCGACTCAGGACATCAGCCTCCACGAAACAGTAGTTGGATCCATGGTGGAAAGCATGCAGAGTACCCAGGAGATCCACGAGGAAAAACGAGCATCCTCTCAAGCAACAATGACGCAGACTACGATAGAAACAGCTGTCAAGATGGAGACGACTCTGGGTGAAGTCGAGGACACGTTTGAGAAAGAGTTCAAACCCGAAACACAGAAAGGCAAGCCTCAAATGGAGGGTCTCACCACTGTTACAGTCACAGAAGTTGTATCGAATGAAATCGAAGACGTCTTGCCAGAGGTCGTGGCTCCTAAAGAGCAAACAGCTCAGCCTAGCTTGACCGGTAGAGAAGCTCCAGAAGTAACGCAAGTGGTCACGGCAGCAACTACTGAAGAATTTGAAAAAATAACTGAATTAAAGGAACGACAAGGCAAAGTGGAAGTAGAAGAACTATCTTCAGTAACAGTTTCCGAAGTCATCTCTCACGAAACTGAAGATGTACTCACTAGTAAAATAATGCCTAAAGATCAGAAGGCTGACTTCAATATTCTGGGCCGTGAAGCTGCGGAAACGACTCAAGTAATGACTATGACCGGAACAGAAGACCTTACATTGAAACGACCGGAAGAACAGAAAGGAAAACCAAAACTGGATGAATTAACTCCGCTTACAGTGTCTCACGTAGTTTCTGGCGAAGCTGAAGAGGCGTTACCAACTGCCGAGGTTCCAAAGGAAACGACTGCTCAACCAAGTTTGACTGGAAGAGACGTTGCAGAGACGACGCAGGTATTAACAGTCGCGAGTGCTGAAGAGATGCTGGCGCCAAAAGCGCCGGAGGAACAGAAAGGCAAACCGCAGGTGGAAGAATTGGCGCCGTTGACCGTCTCGCAAGTCGTTTCGCAAGAAGCGGAAGGAGAATTGCCTACACCGGAGGTTCCAGTCGAAAGGGAAGCTCAACCTAATCTAATTGGCAGAGACGTGGCTCAAACAATGGAAGTTCTAACGATGTCAAACGTGGACACGTTAGCTGAAGATAAGAAACCAGGAGAACAAAAGGGAGTTCCTGGTTTAGAAGAATTTGTTCCTCTCTCCGTCTCTCAAACAATTTCATCAGAAATGGAGGATGTGTTACCTACTGCCGAGGTACCTACAGAAAAGTTGGCTCAGCCGAGTCTGACTGGTCGTGACGTGGCTCAAACAATGGAAGTTCTAACAATGTCAAACGTGGACACGTTGGCTGAAGATACAAAACCAGGAGAACAAAAGGGAATTCCTGGTTTGGAGGAATTCGTTCCTCTCTCCGTCTCTCAAACAATTTCATCAGAAATGGAGGATGTGTTACCTACTGCCGAGGTACCTACAGAAAAGTTGGCTCAGCCGAGTCTGACTGGTCGTGACGTGGCTCAAACAATGGAAGTTCTAACAATGTCAAACGTGGACACGTTGGCTGAAGATACAAAACCAGGAGAACAAAAGGGAATTCCTGGTTTGGAGGAATTCGTTCCTCTCTCCGTCTCTCAAACAATTTCATCAGAAATGGAGGACGTGTTACCTACTGCCGAGGCACCTACAGAGAAGTTGGCTCAGCCGAGTCTGACTGGCCGTGACGTGGCTCAAACAATGGAAGTTCTAACGATGTCAAACGTGGACATGTTAGCCGAAGATACGAAACCAGGAGAACAAAAGGGAGTTCCTGGTTTAGAAGAATTCGTTCCTCTCTCCGTCTCTCAAACAATTTCATCAGAAATGGAGGACGTGTTACCTAGTGCCGAGGTACCTACAGAGAAATTGGCTCAGCCGAGTCTGACTGGCCGTGACGTGGCTCAAACAATGGAAGTTCTAACAATGTCAAACGTGGACACGTTAGCTGAAGATAAGAAACCAGGAGAACAAAAGGGAGTTCCTGGTTTGGAAGAATTCGTTCCTCTCTCCGTCTCTCAAACAATTTCATCAGAAATGGAGGACGTGTTACCTACTGCCGAGGCACCTACAGAGAAGTTGGCTCAGCCTAGTCTGACTGGCCATGACGTGGCGGAAACTATGCAGGTATTGACAATGATAAGCGCTGAGCTTTTGACAACTGCACTGGCACCGGAAGAACAGAGAGGAAAGCCTAACGTAGAGGAACTGACTTCCATCACGGTTTCTCAGACAGTGTCACACGAAACTGAGGAGACCTTGGACAGCCCAGCTGCTCCGAGTACAGTCACTGCACAACCTGCGCTATCTGGAAGAGAAGTTGCTGAAACTAGTCAAATTTTAACTGTCACTAATGTAGGGGAATTAGAGAAACCCGTGCTACCTGAAGAACAAAGAGGGAAACCGCTGTTGGATGAGTTGACATCGATAACAGTATCTCAAGTGGTGTCCAGCGAACTAGAAGACACGTTGCCATCGCCTGAAAAGCCGAGCGAGAAAATCGCCGAACCGCAAATGACTGGAAGAGAAGTGGCTGAAACTAGTCAAGTTTTAACTGTGACTAATGTAGGAGAATTAGAGAAACCTGTGCTACCTGAAGAACAGAAAGGGAAACCGCTATTGGATGAATTGACGTCGATAACAGTATCTCAAGTGGTATCCAGCGAACTGGAAGATACGTTGCCATCGCCTGAAAAGCCAAGCAAGAAAACCGCCGAACCGCAAATGATTGGAAGAGAAGTGGCTGAAACTAGTCAAGTTTTAACTGTGACTAATGTAGGAGAATTAGAGAAACCCGTGCTACCTGAAGAACAAAAAGGGAAACCGCTATTGGATGAATTGACATCAATAACAGTATCTCAAGTAGTGTCTAGCGAACTGGAAGACACGTTGCCATCACCTGAAAAGCCGAGCGAGAAAACCGCCCAACCGCAAATGATTGGAAGAGAAGTGGCTGAGAAGACAGAAATATTAACAGTAACTAACGTCGGAGAATTGCAAAAACCAGAACAACCAGAGGGTCAGAAAGGTAAACCGGATGTAGAAGAGATGAGCTTCATCACGGTTTCAGAAGTGGTTTCCACTGAAGCAGAGACAGACCTACCAGCACCGGAAGCTCCTAAAAAACGCAGAGCTCTTCCACAGATGGACAGCATCGAAGTGGCAGAGACATCCGAAGTGTTAACAATGACCAGTGCTGAAGAGCTTCCAAAACCAAAAGCACCGGAAGAACAGAAAGGAAAACCTCAACTGGAAGAGTTGCTTTCCCTGTCGGTATCAGAAATTGCATTTGGTGAGGTAGAAAAGGGTCTTCCAACTCCTGACGAGCCAACGAAGCAAACAGCTATACCTAGTTTGATGGGTATCCAAGTAGCTCAGAAAACGCAGGTAGTTCCATCAGCAGCTACTAGTGAATTAGAAGAAACAGCGAAACCTGATACAAAACAGATAATTCCTGAGCAAATTCCATTCGAAGGAATTGAGCAATTGCAACCGGTGACACAAGAAAGTGAAGGCACTTTCGTTGTTGAGAAAACAGCCAAATCGGCCACGGCTGAGGTGTCCTTCCGGGTGTCAGAAAGCGTTGAAGTTACGCAAGTGACGACTACGGAACAGGAATCGAAGGAGGTGATCAAAGGCGTGGCCAAAGAGGTTTCAGCTCAGCCCGACGTGATAAAACACGAGGTAGCTTTGAAAACTGAGGTGCAGCCTGAGGATGCTGCGGCTGAGTTCAAGGTTACCAAGCCGGAGAGTAAGACGGCTAAAGGCGTCGAGGAGATACAGCAAGGTGTGATCGTAACCGAACATCTAACCGCAGGCGAGATTGAGTCAGAACTGCTAGAGTCTGTAATACCTTTCGCGAAGTTAGCGAGCGTTTCTATCGAGGCAGAACACCTGGATCATGTTGTGGGTGAGTATTATTGTTATCAAGGTATGCGATTGCCATGGACGGGACGGACGAGCACGTGGACGATTAGGAAACGACCGGAGGACGAATTGACGGTTTGCACGTGAGATAGGGAGAGAGGAAGGGGAAGAACACGTTTGTACGCGTCCACGCAGATTTCGATAGGGTTGTAAAGTGTAGGATAAAAGATTGTAGGATGTGGTAAAATGGCGGGAAGGTAGGTATGAATCACACAAATCAGACACAGTGTCGCGTAGTGGTGCCTTTTACCCAAAAATGCGACCAAAATAGAAAATTTTTCATTTTTTTTTTAAATTCCATATTTTTATGTTATTAGTTCTTCAAAGTCGATTGAAGAGAACTAGTCTTTTTAAAGATTTTTGGTATCTTTAGAGTACGAAAACCATTCGAAGAATATTTTTATTTTATATTAAAAACGCATTGAGGATGTATTGGCTATACAGTCAATCCCAAAAGTTTATGTACCTTAGAAAAACGCATTTCCTATAATTAAAAAGAAATCAGACGTCGGAAGAATAATGCTAATAATAAATAGCTACGAAAAATTTTTTTTTCTAACTTTTTTTTAAAACTAAAAATAGAATTTGATGTGGTTCTAATTTAAAATAAATATATCGTTTCCACAGAATTTTATGTTACTCCCAGGTACCAAGTATCTTATCCAAAAGCTAATTTTCTTCATTTGAATTTAAATTTTGAAGCATAAATGACATAAAAACAAAAAGATTTTACAAAAATAAAAAAAAATTCGATTTTGGCCCCATTTCTGGGTGAGAAGCATCATTGTGTGCCGCGGTATAACACAGGTTAACACACAAGTTTACACACAACAGATCATTCATCTGACAAAGATCTCATTTCATTTTACACAAACGATTTTGTATATCAAAACGATACAAAACGAACCGAACAAGATCGGCGCGATTCAATCAGAGAAGTCAAACCAAAAGAGAGAGAGAGAGGGAGGAAGTAAATGAAAATAGTGCCGAAACAGATTCTGCCACAACACGTTAATCATATCACACTTGTTCTTGTATACATTTCAGAAACTACAGAAGTACCAGCGCAACAACATCACATCACAATCACACAACACACAACAAAACACGAATTGCCACAGCAACAATCGGTTGAATCAGACACAGAAGTAATCGAGGAATACACGACTAAGTTCAGGCGCGGTAGCACAGACGACGAGACCGCGGCCGTTAAAACAAAGAAAACGATTATACGCAAAAAGAAGCCTAAAACCGAGGCAGAGAAAGACAATGTCGTCGTCATTGAAGAGGAACTGGAAGACGTGAAATCGCAAATACCATCGATACCGAAGAAACAGTTCATGCCTATCGAGGAAGTTACAACAATTGAAGACGTTGAAGAAATAATACCGAGTAGAATTGATGAAGCTGAAGAAGTAGTAGATAAACAAGATGAGAAAGTCGAAGTGGAAGTGGTTCAGGTTCAGGATACAGATAAAACTAAAAAGATTAAGAAGAAAATTATACGTAAACGAGGAACAGCAGAAGAAGTGACTGAAGAAGTAAAGATAGAAGAGGAAGAAAAGAAACCTGAAAGAAAGATTAAGAAACCCGTGGAAGAGGAAGTGCCAGAGGAAGAAGCGAAACCGTTAAAACCTATTGAAACAGAGCGCGTAACGCCAACCGTAGAACAAGTGGAAGAACAGGTTACGGTAACAGAGGAAACAACTAAAGAAGGGAAACCAAAAAAGACAACAAGGAAGAAGATAATTACAAGGAAAGGAAAAGAGCAACAGGTGAAAGAAGTAGTTACGATTGAGGAGCAAGGAAAAGCACCAGTGACAAGCGTAACTGAAGGACCAGTTGAAGAAGTAGTAGAGGAAATAGTGAAACGCTTACCAAAGCCAGAGTATGCTAAACCCTCAGAAGTCGAAGAAGTCAGGGAACAAGTTACAGTGACACAGGAAGTGACTAGATGGGGAAAACCTAAGAAAGTGACCAAGAAGAAAATTATTAAACGTAAAGGACAGAAGCAACAAGTGACTGAAGTTGTCACTGTTGAAGAAGAAGGAAAAGCACCAGTTACCACAGTTACTGAAGGGCCAGTAGAAGAGGTCGTAGAAGAACTTATAACACCATTA